CCCCTCTGAAATGTGGGCATAGCTCCCTTACAGAGTTAGTTAGCATGTGTGTATGTGTGTAGAATACATACACACATGTATAAGATGTATAATTATATGACACACACACATAGACACATACATAGACCCCGGAGTAGTGCCGAGTACATGCTAAACATTAAGTAAACGATAGCTGCTATTTGTCACTTCAATAATGAGTCCCAGTTTCACAACGAGCTCCTTGAATGTCCTTGCTTAGTCTCTTGGGACAGCTCATAAATCGGCAACTTCTGGGAGAAGGGATGGGGGTTGGTAATGGTGGACTGCCTTCGGGGCAGGCAGGAAGGCACCTGGCGGCCAGCCTTGGATGGAGTCCAACCAGGCAGCAGCCCAGGTACCAGTCTGTTCTGTCTCAGGCCTCCCAGCCTGGGAGAGAACTGAGCAGAACTCTACTTCACCGTAAGTCTCTGGTGGCCAGCACTGAGAGGAGACACTGGGCAACTAGTCAGAATGAGGTCCTGAGCCAGGGTTTCTCTAAAGCAGCACCCACTTCAACTCTCCTGGCTCCTTCTGCTACCTGGCAGAAGGTAGCACAAGGACCACCACATGGTCCCAGGAAGCCGCAAGATCGAGGATCAGGAGTAGCACCCTTGTTTGCAAACATGACTTGGCCTGAACAGATGAAAGAGGAAGGGTCCTACAGGAAACATGAGATCCTCTAGAGTGAGCACAAGGTGCTTTTAACCTACAGTACCCAAAGCGTTCCAAACTCCTGGTCATTTCCTAGCCTGCCAGAAGGATTGTGTCCCGTGCTGCCATTACATGGCAGGCCTAGGCAAAATCAAGCCTGTGTCCTCCCAATCTGTGGAAAAAACCCTGCTTCCCACAACAAAGCAGAATGTCCCCAGCCTCCCTCCTCCTCCCCACCAGGGCTGCTCCTCCCTGCCTTCCTCAGTGCCTCATCTCTGTGTGGGACATCAAGGCGACAGGCCTATTTACATAAATGAGAGCCCTGGGCCAGACGGGGGAAGGACAGTCTTAGAAAGCCATCCCTGGTCTCCCTGGGGGTCTCCCACTCTCGCTGCCCATCTATCTCTGCTGGGGGTTGGAGCTGGCTGTCCTTTGAAAACTCGGAGAGACTAGCCAGCTGTTTCTCCTGAGCCCATCTCCCCTAGTAACCCTCCCTTAAGGGGTAGCAGGGAGCAGCCTTGGGCTTGTCCCCTGAGACAGCACTATGATTAGGGTATCAACTTTCCCCAGCTTTCCAGGTGGCTGTGGGTGGTGACTATTGAATTCTGAGCCCCCATCCTCTCCCTGCCCTGCAAAGTGTGGGTGGAGATGATGGCCTCCATACTTAAGGTAGGGTTAGGATCCTGGGTCAGAGGGTCAAGGGGCTGCCTGAGAACTGAAGAAAGAAGGCCCCTCCAGGAGGGTGTGCAGGTAGTGCTCCTGGTTCTCTCCAGAAAGCTGAAAGAGGGGTTCAGTCAGTCCAGCCCTGACCCATTCCAGCACATCGACATCACTCTGCCACCATTGTTTGAGGCTCTTGCCTCTCTGCCTCCAGTTTCTCCTGAACCAGTCCTGATTTTTACTTCCAACTTGGAAGTTCATGGGAAGGCTTTATGCAGCCTTGGGACCCATGTTTCCATGAAAGTGTTCTCCCACCCCCGCCCTATGCCACAGATCCCTCTGGAATTGGTACAAGTCCCAAGGTGGTACAAGGCCACTTGGGGTATCAGGAGCACACACAGCAAAGCCCAGGGTGGTATGGCATTTTCCCCCTTTAATTCCTTTTCCCATAGACAGCCGCCAAGCTCTGGTACCTTGCCCCCTCCCCCATCTCTACTTGACTCTAGGCCTGGGAACCAGGGGCCTGCCTCCAGGGGACTTCTCCAAGCTCCACCCACTGGGATGGGCTGACTAAGCAGCTGCAGTGACAGCTCCTGGGGACAGGAAGGGCACAGGCTAGTTTCTCTTGAAGTTTGAAATACTTCCCCTCCCCTGCTTGTGAAGGAAGAGACCCCTCCGGAGAGCCGGATTGCCGGAGAGCCGTGGTTCTCAACCCTCCTCACGCCACAACCTGGTAATGCAGCTCCTCATGCTGTGGTGACCCCCAACCACCAAATTATTTTTTGTTGCTACTTTATAACTATAATTTTGCTACTGCTATGAGTCATAATGTAAATATATCTGATAGGCAGGATAATCTGATACGCGACCCCTATGAGAGGGTGTTCTACCCTCAAAGAGGTTTCACAGGCTAAAAACTGCTGCCCCAGAGACTTCGGAAAGGGACCCGTTAGTACTGAGAGCCTTGAAGGGCTGGGTTGGGGGGGAGAAGACGTCTTTCTGGGTAACAGTAGTTACCCTACCCTGCCACCCACAGACCCTGAATCAACCACAGAATCACCCAGAGGGCAAGAGAGGATGTTCTATCCCTTCAGGCAGGATCCTTCCTGGTCCTCATTGTTGCCAAAAGGCTGCAAAGTGGACCTTTGAGTTCTGATGATATATGTCACTAGCAAGGGGATATGGGGATGATACTGGCCGAGGGGCAGTAGGGAAAACCCAACGCACAGACTTGAAACCGGAAGGTGGGCATCACAAGGGCACCTAGCCCAGCCCTGCCCGCTAGGGAGCTACCTCCCCTGAACCCTCAGCCTGGTTCTAGCCACAGTGCCAGTCCAGGCATGCTCACAGCACCGTCACCTGGGCCAGGCTTTATCCTTCCCCTCAGGTTGAGGCTGTGACTGGAAGAGGTGTGGAGCTCCCAGAAGGAAGCCTGTGGTTTCCTCAGCTTCCAGACACCTGGGCAGTGTGAGGAGAGCCCCACCATCTGCCCTTCACTGTAGCTCGCATCATAGGCCTCGCTCCAGATGGACTGCCAGGTTCTGGACCCAGTGCTTAAGGACAAGCCCGATGTGGTGGGCATAAGGCAGGCAGGGCCCCAGCGAGGCTGAGGTGGGCAATTTCCCGGCCTCAAACACAGCTAAAGAACTTCAGCCAAGCTGTTGTGGGAAGTCTGGGGCAAGGGAAGCTTAGGGAGGGTGGGGAGGAACCTGAGAGGAATCTCAGAGGCGAACTGAGGGCCACAGGAGGTGTGTGGCTGAGGCAGAAAGCTGAGCCTGTCCTGGTGGCAGCAACCGGTCAGACCTGTTCCAGCTCACCTAGGCAGCCTGGGGGAGGGCCCGCTGGCAGCTTGGTGCTGGGATTGTTAGCTGGAAGGAAGCGGATCCTCACTCCCACAATGACATGGTTCTGGGGGCTGCGTCCTAGCAGGGTGAGGGGCTAGGTAGGCTTGAGGGAAGGAGAGGCCTCCTGGGGGCATCTTCTTTTTGCTGCCCATTTGGTTGTCTCTGCTGTTTGAGGTGAGGGGTAAGTAGCCACTGGCAGAAGTCCAAAGTGTCAGACTCAGGTTAGGCTTGGCAGCAGGCACCTCAGCAGGATGAGCAGTCTCTTCAGCCCCCACCCAGAGTGAAGGGGTGGGTTATACGTACTTCTGGTAAGGTGGGGCTGGAGGCCCTTAGGCCCTCCCATCACTCTTTCCCATTCCTCCCTGGCCTTTTGTACCCCCAGCTGAGGATTTGGGTTTCAGAGCACCCTGGCACACCATCCTCCTCCACCCAGTATCTCAGAGTTACATGACTGTTCCTTAGTAGCAGGAACAATGGGAAAGTCCAGTGTGCAAGGGAACTTAGTAAGAACAATGGCAACATGCAGGTCTGTGCAGGGGGACTTGGTAGTTACAAAGTGTTTTATACTGTCATTATGTCTTTGGGCCTCAAGGGCAACCATGGGAGGCGGGTAGCAATAAGCATCCATAAATGAAGATCCTGAGGCTCAGAAATAGAAATGATTGCCGCAAGCCACAAGCTACTCAGGGAGCCTTGTTGCCCCGTAGGGTGGGTGGCAGCCCGGGGTTAGCCAACCGAACCAGGCTTGGAGTTAGGATCAGTGCTTGGGCCCCAGCTTGTGCAGGCTTATGTCCATATTCTGTCCATCTGTGTGTCATGTGAGCATCAAGGCTATGGCTTCAGAGCTGAGCCAGAAGAGAATGAGATTGAAAATTGTTTCTAGCTGAGTGTCAGGGTGCACAAAAGACACCTATTTGTGCCCTTTGGGAGGCTGGTGAGATGGCTCAGTGGGCCAAGGCACTTACCACCGAGTCTCACAACCTGATCCCCCATGGTGAAAAGAGAGAACCAACTTTCACAAGTTGTCCTCTGACCCCCTATATGTAGAATGTGGTGTATTCGTGCTCTCTTTCACACACAAAATAAATAATGTTAAAATTAAAAGTAATAAGCCCTGCTTTCCAGGCCACGGTCTTTGACGACATTGGCCCTGTCCTGCTCTTCATGGCCTCCTCCCCATATGAGTCCTTGGAGATTAGTGACACCCTGCCCATCCTTCCCACCTTGCCATTCCTGTCCTGTTGTTCCCTATATCCTGGGCTGGATGTAGGGCTCCTGAGGATGATCCCATCGACCCTAGGACCCTTCGCCCTGACACCTCCCAGGGTTTCAGGTTCTCAGGCTCACATTTGGCAGGGCCATTTGGTTCACTGGGGTCAAAGAAGAGAACCCACTGGAGATGAAAGGCTTACTGTAAACAGGCTGTCCAGCTTTCAGTAAACAGCTATCCTTGCCTTCGCAACAGAGAACAGCTCTGCGGGCCAGGTGCCCACTCATGAGCCTTACGTATCCAGCCAGGCCTAGGAAGGCCAACTGAGCCTTGGGTAGGAAGACTAAAGCCACAACAACCTGTGACTAATAGAATGGCAAAGAGTGAAACTAGGCTCCGGCAGGGACAGTGGCTTATCCAGAGCTACTCAGTTTGCTTCAGTGCCAAGCATCCATTCACACCTTCTGAAGCCTGGACCAATTCTGAATCCTTCTAAGCTAGGAGGTAGAGGTGGGCAGTGGGCGGAGAAGGCAGGGCTGGGAGGTAGAGTGGGCAATGGCGGAGAAGGCAGGGCTGGGACATTGTGGAGTGACATGGTGCTTCCTATATCCCCACAGCGTGAGCTCCGGCCTCGGCTCTGCACCATGAAGAAAGGCCCCAATGGCTATGGTTTCAACCTGCACAGTGACAAGTCTAAGCCAGGCCAGTTCATCCGAGCAGTGGACCCAGACTCACCAGCAGAGGCCTCTGGGCTCCGGGCCCAGGACCGCATTGTAGAGGTGATGCGCTTTACTCTATTCTCCACACTCTTCCTAATCTTTGGTGCTTTGGGGCAAACCATGTGTGGTTTGATTAACCCAGGGGAAGTGGCCAAGCCAGGGGTGCTGGATGGTAGGCAGCTACACAAGCAGATAGGAAAGGGAAGGAAGGGTGTAAGCAGCAGGTGAGCGCATGGACAGACTGACTGGCTTCTTTTCCCATCTCTTGGGTTCTGCTTTACCAGTATACACTCTACATCCATGATTTACCTGCCAAAATCTAGGCAGATAACAGCCGGAGGCCATCCACATGGCCTTCTTGATGCCTGAGCACTCCGTGCCAGGCACGAGGAGAGATTAAACCTCCTTCCTGAGTTCAGCTCTGAGACACTGTGTTCTTCAGCTGTGCTCACAAGAGAGGAAACGTGAACTAAATGTTTGGGCTGGTCCCAGAATCACAGTCTGAGAACCTTAGAGCCACAGATCAGCTCTTCCAAGACTTCTCACTTTACACGGCCCAGAGAGGGAGGTCGGAGGAGAGCCCAGCCCAGGCTCCCAGGCTCTCCTTGCTCACAGCTGTGTTTGTGTAGCCTCCTCTGGGTATTTTATTTGGCTCTTCCCATTTGTCTTGATTCCCAGCTGACTGTCAGAGAACCACTGGCTGGGTTCAGGACCAAGCAGATAAGGGAATGCAGCATTCCCAGGTGGGGCTGCCTCCACCTGCCCTCCCCAGCACTGAGACCTATGTGGTAACCCTCCCTGCCCCCACCTCTGCCCTGCCTCACAGGTCAATGGTGTCTGCATGGAGGGCAAGCAGCACGGGGAGGTGGTGTCTGCAATCAAGGCTGGAGGGGATGAGGCCAAGCTGCTGGTGGTAGACAAGGAAACAGATGAGTTCTTCAAGAAGTGCAAAGTGGTCCCATCGCAGCAGCATCTGGATGGTGAGCACACAGTTGGGTGCCCCCACGCCAGGGGTGTGGGCAGTGCCTGAGGCTGGTCAGAGCTGGGGGTGGGTAGCTTCTTGGACTGCTCTCCTTTCTCCTTCAGGGGAGACCCAACAGCATGGGTTGGTAGAGAGTGAAGGCAGGGATGAGCCCATGAGTGTCTAAAGGTGGCAAAGTGACAGCAACTAAATGGCATGAAGAAGAGGGTAGGATTTTTCTGTTGCTACCAAGGCATGGCCGGAGCCTCTCCTTAGTGTAGTGAGTTCTCAAGTGATTCCTCTGAAAAGAAAGAGTTAACTCTGGGGCAGCCTCCAGCCTTTGCTGGGTAGATCAGAGTCCAGTGACAGGACACAGTGCTCCCCTCCCCCTTTCTGTCAAGTTGCCTTGGAAACTCAGGCTTGCTGGCTCTAGAGAGCAGCGGGTCCCCTTCAGTCCCTGGGCCCCTGCTTTTCCCCCTCCCCCACTCTCATCCTGCCAAGCCTGGCACCTCCCTCTGTCTAAGCCAAGCCAAAGTGAGTAGGGCCACTACACCAGGCAGGAGGGGCCTAGCACCCCCTACTCCTGAGTCCAGACTTTCTCCCTGGGAAGATGGCTCTGGGAGGGAGGTCTGTGCTGTGCTGAAAGTGAAATATTTCCAGATTTTGCTGTGGGTGGGGCCTCCCTGAGGATCGGGACTGGACTGCAGTGGTAGGTCAGGGTCCACATGACTCAGATCCCTACCTAAGAGGAGGGGTACAGTGACCAGTCCTGTCCAGGGGTATCATAACCTAAGTATACAGAAGCACTCCACCCATCCCTCCTAGACTCTGAATGCAGAACAGCGCCCCCTTCACAGGCCATGTGGGTGGTGATCTGGAGTTCTCTTCCACTGGCCTCTCCTGACTCCACCCAGGACACTGTCCTTGAACCTTTGTGTCCTCTCATTTCTAGGTGGCAGATAGTTGGCACTGTTTTCTCTCCAGGGCAGCAGGTACCAGCTATATAATCTGAGGTGTGGCCCCAAATCTGCTGTCACAGCATCAACCCCTGGGATGTGTAAAAACCAAGGCCCAGCCTTGCCTTGGGGTGTATGTGGAAGTCAGAGGACAAGTTAGAGGAGTCAGTTCCCCCCCTCTACCATTTGGGTCTTGGGGATCCAACTTAGGTCATCAGGTTTGGTGGCAAGTATCTACCCACTGAGCCATCTCTGGCCATAGGCAACCTATTTTTGACTGGCTGCCTTAGAACTCCATCCCATCTTAACTCTCCAGTGAGCTTGGTGATCTGACATTCTGGGTCAGATGTCAAGCTAAGAGCACTTGGCTAATACATGGGGTTATGTGTTTGTCCCCAGCACTGCACAGAGTGTACTCTATTAGGGGGAGCCATCCTGTTCATCCCAGGTTGCCAGTCAGCATCAGATAGCACTCCTCAAGTATGCTCCTCCCGACCTCCCCCAAAAATGTTCCCCCACTTTGCCAAGTGAGGCATTTTTAAAATAAATTTTAGTTTAAAATAGCAAAGTATTGCACTATAGTGAGGTCTTGTTTTCTGAAACTATCAGTCTTTCTGTGCACTGGGTCATCAAAATGTCAAATGTACAGACACTGGGTTGCAGCCAAAAAAGTTGTAGCCACTGACCTCTGGTATGAGGTCTGGTGAGCTGCCCGAGCCATAGCTCTGGCCTCCTCTGTTCTCCTGCAAAGATTCTGGCCTGACCTTTGCTCTCTCCCTCATCTAGGCCCCTTGCCTGAGCCCTTCACCAATGGAGAGATACAGAAGGTAAGGGGTCCCTATCTGCTTCTCTGTGGAGACAGAGCAAGTGGTGGCATGGATGGGAGTCTGCCTCAGGCTGACACATCAGGGCCCAGTTCCAGTTTCTTCCTGAGTTCCAAGCCATAGGACTGCCAGAGTACCCCAGCCCCTGTCAGGGTGTAAAGCTGTCACTTGGGAGAGGCTTGCCTGGGGCCCCTCGGCAGCCCCCGCCTCCAACTCCCACCATACAGAAGAGGCCATTCTTCCCCCTAAGAACAGAACCTCAGTGTCTGGCTGCTAGTCCTATTACTTCCAGCCCCTCCTCCTTGGGCAGAAAGGAAGGGGGTGAGAGGCTGGGAGCCAGCCGAGGCCGTGGAAGGACCCAGGAAGGGGCTGGGTGCCAGGCTCACACCCCAGCCAAAACCTCTACTCAGGCATGGGCTGTCTCAGAATCAGACCACAGAGTGGAGAGTTGGCAAGATATGCTTGAAGGCTTCCTCCACAGGAACCTAGAATCAGGCCATGATCATAGCCTTCTACCACCCATTCCATGGTTCTAGAATGATCTGTCCATCTTATTCCTTAAAGACCGTGGTTGGTTCCTTTGGGGTTAAGGCCTGGACAAGGCTGCAAAAGGTTAAGGGATCATATATGCTCCTCATGCCAAACAGAGAGGGAAGGCCCTGGTAGACCTGTGCTCCAAGAAGCCCCTCCCCAGCCACTGATGCAAAATGTGAATCAGTGCTCAAAAGTGTTGGGGAGGATGAGAGTCCAGCAGTTCTCCACCCACTGTCTAGGTGATGGATGGAACCAGGCTACCCCAATCCTTTTAGGAATGCAGTAACGTAAATCTGGAATTTGGATCAATGGCCAAGCCTGAGCTGAGGACCTTTCTCTAATGAGGTCTCTCATCAGGAGTTTCCTTTCCTACCCCTGCCAACCCATACTTTCTCCTCTCTGTGCCAGGAGAACAGCCGTGAAGCCCTGGTAGAGCCAGCTTCAGAGAGCCCTAGGCCAGCCCTGGCAAGATCTGCCTCCAGTGATACCAGTGAGGAGGTAAGCTGCCCCCTGGGGGTCGGTGATGGAGCCATTTCCAGGCCACTCTGGTTCCTGGCACACTAGCCTGCCTTTGAGGTCACATGCTGAGGTGCAGTTTGTTCATGTGACCTGGCTACCCTGGCCATGGCTTCAAGGGATCCAGCTCTCTGAGGTCAAAGACCGGGGAGCCCTCAGGGGTGGACACTGACTCCTTCCTCTTCTTCACAGCTAAATTCCCAAGACAGCCCCAAGAGACAGGATTCCACAGAGCCCTCATCTACCTCCTCCTCCTCCGATCCCATCTTGGACTTCAACATCTCCCTGGCTGTGGCTAAAGAGAGGGCCCACCAGAAACGCAGTAGCAAGCGGGCCCCGCAGATGGACTGGAGCAAGAAAAATGAACTCTTCAGCAACCTCTGAGAGTCTACCACCAGCTGGCTAGTGCTGGAAGGGTGGAGCCACCCACCTGCCCTAGCACCTTCTTTCCTCCCCGGTGCCCACCAATCAACATTCAAATCAGCACCAGCACCCGCCCCACTGCCTGACAAATCTTACTTTCCTAGGAATTCTGTTCTTCCCTCACTTTAGCAAAGGACAGTGTTTCTGTCCTGCCTCCCTGAAAGCTCCTTCTTACCAAGCGTCTCCTCACCAGTCTGCCTAGGACATCACTGGAACCTGCACTAAGCAAGGACTTCTGGAGCAGACAAAAAGTCTTCCCTCAGCTACGCGTGATGACCAAGTTCAAGGCTGACCAGGGACTGACTGTAGCAGCCATTGCTCATAACAGACAGGGTGCCCAAGGTCCTCGGAGCTATGGCTTAGCATCTTTGGTTCACTTGATTTTGTTTTTCTTTTCCTTTCTTTTTTTTTTTTTTAAGAGTGTAGCATTGAGAATTTAGAGGGGTTCTTCATGATTCTTGTGATTTTCCTGGTGGTTGTACCCAGGGCATGGCAACAGCCTCATCCTTAAATTTTTATCCCTACTCTTATCGTGAGAGGCCCGGGCAGCATGGGGAAAGCCTGGTTTCCTCTACCTGTCCTGAGTCAGGTGCCACCACTGTAAGGAAATGCCTTCAGAAATCCACTGGTTCCTTCAAACTCCTTGAGCCTGTGTCTTCCTTTGGAATTTTGCCTCCTGGCCTCATGCCTTCCAGAGTGGGTGATGGACAAGGATTCCCAGGTAGCTGGGCTTTGGTTGAAAGGAAGGATTCTCACCCCTGGAGGACTATGTAGCGCTCTCATACCCCCAAGCTACAGTGGTTTTGCAGCTACTTTGGGGTCCACAGGGCCCTTAGCTCCTCCCTGTCAGTGCCCCTAGGGCATGGGACAATATGGGTGTTCATAGGGACTGTGGGAAGAAGCCGAGATGAGGACTCTGGGACTCCTCATTCCACATGTGCTGCAAGTGAAGTTTTACTACAAAGCCAGGTACAGCATGTGAGGACTGACTCCACACCCTCCAGCTCCACCCCCCCCACACACACACACTCCCTCGCACCCCCTACCAACAGTACAGGATTCTCAGCAGTCTGAGCCTGGCCCAGACACCCTCCCTCACCTCCCAATGGCCTGGTTGGAAGACAGATATCCAGCACAAGAGAAAAGTGGCCCCAGGACACATTGTGGAGGTCTTGGGAGAGGTGTTCAAAAATGAAAAGGAGTGTGGCAGTTCACCTATTCTATAGAAAGACCACTCAGAACCAGGTTGCTGGTCTGAAAGGAACAAGTAAGACAATGGATCTGCCCTGGAGCCCTATGGGCTGGGAGAAGGGCCAGTCACTATCTGGCCATCTCACCAGCCTTAAAAGAGATCATCCAGAGCCCTTATCTCAGTACCTATCATCTTGTGCCTGCCTGCTCAGCTGGGCCTGGCCTCCCTCATCCACCCATGCTTCTACCCTTTGACCCCAGGTGGAGGCCCCCAGGCTGTTGTAACAGGCCAAAGAATTGCCCCACAGGGCTTGGAGGAGCCCCTCCCTACCTCACCTGCTGGGTGGAGAATTGCTGGTGGACCTTTGACTCTAAGCTGGACCAGAATTGACTCAGGTCTGGAGCAGAGTCCAAAGGGAGCCAACTGCAAGCTTCACTCCAGATTCAGGCATTCTGGAGAACAGTTTTCCCCTTGCAGCCCGGGGATAAGACGCCAGGACTCAGGGGGCTGGGAGCCATCACTGTATCACAAATGCACTTCTAACCTCTTGTCAGAGCTGTTTTGAAAACACACCTGGCCTCTCCTGATGACTACTTCAGATAACAACAGAGAATGGGGGCTCCCTCCTGCAGGACAGCCTCCCACACATCCTGGAGGACTTTTGCCAGCAGCCTGGCCATCCTGAACCCGGGCTTCTGCTGCCCTCTAATGGCCAGGCTCAGTGAAGCTGTCCAGAGGCACAGGGTGATGAGTTGAAGGGGTGGCCATGAGCCTAATGTGCCAGAGGGACTGAGAGTGGCCCCTGGTTCTCTCGCCTGCCCCAGGCTCCAGGCTTCTCTGACGGGGATGCTCCCCGGTACAAGGAGCTGTATCCACAAGTTCTTCCCTCAGACCTGTCTGGCTCCAAAGAGCTGAAAGGACAGTAGGCAGAGGGGCCAGCCCACCCCTTTACCAGATCGCCTGTCTTTCCAGGTCCAAGCCCACTTGGTCACTCTGGCTGACAACAGGATTGATTATCCCTGCCCCAGTCTTCTCCATGAAGAATGAAGGAACGAGGAAAGCTGCCAAAACAAGTGTTTTACTCAGCCAGGGCCCCAGGGAAATGCTGGTTCTTCAGACCCAGCCTCCAGTTCCCACCTCCACCCTGACTTTGCTGGACTACAGCCATCTGTTCCAGTGCAGTTAGCTTATGGTTGGGAGTAGGAAGGAGTCTTAGCCACTGCCTGCCAGGGGCGGCCAAGGCATGCTCCGGCTCAGGAGGGTCTGGAGCAGACTGAAGGTACTGTACATCTATCTCCCGTGCAGCTGTCTGGCCTTGGGTACAGTGGGCAGTTCTAACCCTCCTGCTCACACTGGGCAGTTGTCACTGCATCCTGCTCTGTAGGGTTTCTCTTCCATGTGGTTCGTCTGCTCCAGAATCCACTTCTGCTCTGGCTCATTCACTGCCAGCCTGAGTGTCACCTCCTGGAAGACATTGCTCACAGCCACCTGTAGGGGCCAACAGAGTTACAGCCTCAAGTTCAAACACCAACAGCTCTACTTCCTTAGGCCTCCCCACCGATGCCCTTACCTGCTTAAAGTGAAGTTTCTGGAACATCCTGATGCTAGGTTCATTTTCTTGCCCAATTTTCGCCTCAAACTTGGTCAGTCCTAGCTTCTTCACTCCTCCAGTTATAAGAGAGAAGGGTAAACTGTAAAAACTCTGCTCTTCTGTCCCTCTGTCCCAGTCTGCAGTAGAGGGGCCTGTCATCTGCCTCTTTCTCCCTGAAGAAGGCGCAGCTGAGGCCTACCCATGTGATCAGTTCTGTTTGTCTTACCATAGGCCATCATCAGGAGAGATGCCTCCGTGCCAAAGCCCTGGCCTCTGCAGCTGGGTTCTAGGAGAAGAGCACCCTGTAGTTAGTACCAAACGCCAGGCTCAGCGTGGATACCTGACAAGTCGCGGCTCACTGATTTGTCAAAACTCTCCCGTTAGCATTCTGCCCAGGAAAAAGGAAGGCACAGAAAAGGGACAGGACATGTGAGGCTCCCAGCAATCTAAACCCTCCTTCACTCGGGTGCTCTGGGCAGAAGCCTATAAGGACCAAGGATGCAGAAGCAGAAAGGCTTCCTCCACAGCATGGCAGGACATCTCCTGAATTGCTGCTTTTTAGAGGGTCCCCTTCTAACAAAGAAACAGATGGAGTTCTGAAGGCTAGGGAGATGGCTCAGTAGTAAAATGCTTGCAAGGAGGACCAGAGTCCATGCCCAGAATCCATGTAAAGACGCCAGGTGTAGTAGCATGTGATTTGAAGCCCAGTACTGGTAGGCACAGCCAGCTAGCCTGGCCTATTGTGGCAACTCCCAGGCTGGTGAGAAACCCTGTCTCAAACCAACAAAAACCTATAAAGAGAAAGGTTGATGGCCGGTGAGGAACAAAGGCCAAGACTGTCCTCTGGCCTATATACCACACACACACAGAGACAGACAGACAATAGCAAAGATTAAGTTCATACCAAGGCATATGGAAGGAAGTAATGAGCCCAAGGGTTAGTCGCCATACTGAGTGTGGGACAGGAGATCTGCCATGGTCAAGAGCTGGCTAACAATAGCTGACTGAGCTACCCCTGGGCATCCACTAAGCTCTCTGAAGTTCTGGCTGGCCCAGGTGGGACAAACCTGCAATCATGACCTCGATCTCCCCCAAGTTGGGGTCCTCTAGATCTGTGAGGAAGAGGTTCACATCTCCCACCATGCAGCTCTCTTCAGGGAGGTGAGGCTGGGCCTGCCATTTCTCTGCATCCAGCACAATGAAGGTGCATTCTGAGGGCAGATGCAACAAGGTTAGCACCTAGAATCTTCAAAAAAGGAGATGAGGTGCCAGGCACAAAGGTGCATTCCTGTAATCCAGCACTAGGGGAGGCAGAGACTGATCTTTGGAAGTCTGGGGCCAGCCTGGTCTACAAAGCAAATCCAGGACAGCCAAGGCTACACAGAGAAACCCTATTTAGGGAGGGGGAAGAAAGGGAGGCTGGTGTTCCCACCCAAGCCAGAGAACTGCAGGACACTGCTGTCTCTGCCACAGGAGAAAAGGGGCCCAGAGCCTAGTACAGAGTTCCAAGATCATGTTTGATCTGAAGCAGGGAAAAATAGGTCCTACCCTTTGGTACAGACAAAGGAACAGTCTGTACCAAAGGGTAGGACCTATACTAGGCTATGGCAAGAGACATAAGAGCAGAGCCTAAATTAACAGCTGGAAATCAAATTGCTTTATTCTCTAAATCCCAGCCGGTGACTGCTCAGGCAGGGGGACAATAAGGTCAGCTGCAGGGACCACTTCAAATAGTTCAAGTATAAGCACGCTCCAAAGTTTTTACTGCAGTCTAGTGATGGCCCCAAAGGGGCAACAGCTGAGGGGTGGGAGAAAGGAAGGAAGAGTGGAGGCTGCTAGGGGGTGGGGGCTCCTCACTGTCTTCATCTTCACACCAGCTACGCTGCATCTCATACTCCTGCTCCAGGGTCAGCGGCTCTGAGGCTGTCAGATGCCTCAATTCCTCTGACTTCATCCACTCGTGGTACCTGGCGAAGAGAGGAAAGACTTTGATGAATGGTACAGATTCAATAGCATGGGTTTTAATGGGTGTGGAGGGACAGGCCTGGATGACCAGCCCCTGGGAGGTGGAGGCAGGAGGATTAGGTGTTCGAGGCCAGCCTGAGTTACAGGAGACCCTTTCTTCAAACAAACAAGCAAGAAAATGAAAGTTCAAGCTTTGACTGCAGAGAATTCTGCGCCAGCCTCTAATACCACAATTCCAAGTAGCTATGAAGTATGAAGTACAGACAAACAAGAATCTGACACTGGGTGTGGTGGCACATATCTTTAGTCCCAGCCTTGGGGAGTCTGAGGCTAGCCTAGGTTACATAGTTCTAGGCAGCCAGGACTGCATAGTGAGAGGATAAGTGCTATAGAGTGAGGGACTTTAGTCATTTTAGCTCTAAGTCAAACATATTGTAGATATTCAGTTAAAATATAATCCATTAAAAAAATACCCCCCCAAAAAAAAACCCCAAAAGACTTTGCAGTTTTCAAGATGAAGTGGAAGGTAGGGATGAGGGCCCCACAGTACTGACAGAAGACTCAAACAAAAGGATATGACCAGTCAGAAAAGTTGGGTTCCTCCCTCAAGCAAATCCAGACAGCGACATCTCTATTTGCCCAGCTTCCCACCTAGGCAGTGTGAAACCAAACATCCCTCAGATCCATGAGGAATTGTCATCTCAGAGGCTTACTGCCTCTGTGAATCTAGGCCTAGAATGTTTTCAGCCTCTGAGACTTACTGCTTAATAAGCACACCCTTTCTAGCTCTTTCTGAACTCTGGCTGGCTGGTTCAACTCAGCTGTTCTGCCTCAAACTCCTCTCCAAGCTGACTGATTCAATCTGGCTTCTCTCTCGGTTTCTGATGGAATTGCTCTGCTTGGCCTCAAGCTAACTCTAGCAGTCTGTTCTAAGCTCCTGACTCCTTGTCATTCTTTTGCTCATTTTCTCACCCATGTCTAGCTTGTTCTCTCTACAATCTGTCTCTATAAAACTGTCCTAGTAAAAACTGCCTCTGAATTCCACGGACTAAACTCCCTCAAACTCAACTCCACTGCACTGTCTCTCAACTGACTGACTCAACGAATTCAGAGATCTTGCATGGCCCTGTCTCACAAACGCTGGGATTAAAGGTGAGTAACACCTCTCTTGGTCCTAAGTGTTTCTTCACCTGAAACTTGGTCTATACCAGGCTGGCCTTGAACTCAAGAGATCTTCTTGCCTCTGTCTCCTGGGATTAAAGGCAAGTTTGTATTCCACCCCTAGAAGGCCTTTAGATGTGATCCCTTGCCAGAGCAGCTATGTTGCTGGATTAAATGTCCTTTACAAACCTCAAAGAGGTTGGACAAAGAGGGTTGGGCAGACCTCTACAAGACAGGGTGTCAGAGACCTCCCAAAAGTAAAACTACTGGTAAAGCATGCCCCCATCCCCTACACAGCCCGTTTCTCAGCCTACCAGATGTTTACCGGTTAACTCAGGAAGAGTCCCTAGAACTCACTTCTGGCCTTTAAACAGTATAGGCACCAAAATAATGCAGCACTCAACATCTGGGACAAGCACTAGTTAAGTCTCCAGAATGACAGAGTCCTATTTACTGATACCAGAAAATGCCATCAGGAAGAAGACATTTCCTTATTCTTTGCTACATACATTTATTTAGATGATGTAATTCCTAACTGAAAAGGCCAAAAAGAAAGCTGAGAAATGAAAAGGAAGTATGTTCTCCACTTCAGCTTTATTCTTCCTGCATGGAATTTTTTTCCCTTTGAGACACAGTCTCACTATGCAGCCCTGGCTGCCCTAGCACGTAGTATGTAGAGGAGGCTGGTCTCAATCTGACAGAGGTCCACCTGCCTCTGCCTCCCAAATGTTGTGCTGGAATCAAGGATGTGCAGCACCGCACAAGTAATGTTGCTTAGAATGGAACAGGCTCCTAGATTAGGACTGAGGAAAGCCTCGCCCTGTTTCCTCCACACTGCAACCAGTCAGGTGAAGTTACCTAGGCACGTGCTCCGACGTGTAGGGTACCAGGACCACCTTCTTGCCCACCAGCACGGTGTTCTGATTCAGCCTCATTGTAGCTGCCTAAAAGTGGGGAGAGTTCTAGATTTCAGAGCTCCAAGTGTCTTTCCATGCAGGGTGGGAACTCCTACAGGCTTCTCCTGTAGAGGCGGGGCTGCGTTGACAAAGAGCGTCCTCCTTTCCCTCACAAATACAACTGTAAGAAAAAGAACCGAAGTGGTCAAAAAATCTCGGCTCTCATCTCAGGGGTCAAATTTGAGCTGCGGTTTCCATCCCCAAGAACCTGGATCGAGGGCCATATAATCAGGATTCAGACACGACGTGCCCCAGTCCGGGGAGTCCACTCCAAAATGACCGGTTAACCCTTCTTTAAACCTATTTCCAACCCTTCCCTCCAAAGTCCATGCCACCCAGCTCTGACCTTCCCCTTTTCCCGTCCCCAGGCCCCACTCGAAGCCCTCAGGCCTCAGCCCTTTGCGTGGTACGACAATGGTACCCTCTAACAGCGCAGCCTACAAACTGCCAAACTCACACCCATCCCCCGCTGAGGAAGGCGTCCCCAACAACAGGCCGCTCTCAGAAAGCCGGGCTTTCCGCTTCCGCCACGCAGACGGCATCCGGAGGGCCCCAATCCCGGCCCCGCCCCCACGAGGCATCCAATCAGCGCCCTGTGCCCCTTCCGACGCACTCGTCCGGAAGGTGGGCTAAGGAGCAAGCGCATGCGCGCAGCGGTCGCCGGTGCGGGACAGCTGGCGCCGGGTGGCAGCAGCGGAGCTGGAGGCGTTGGCCACTGTGGACAGAGCTAGCTGTGCTGCAGGTCCGGGATGGACAGTAGGGAAGAATGGGGTGGAGATAGATGTAAATTTTGGAGAGGAGGGAAGGAAGGGAGAGGCTCAGAGATGGACTCTTGAGAAGAGAGGGAGGCTTAAGGGTGGGGAGCCTTAAGGAAAGGCAGAAGAAGGCAGGTGAGGGAGCAGGAGGCCCCGTTTAAAAGAGGCTTTGGGGCAAGGAGTTAGCGTGGAGGGGCGACCAGAAAACCTGGCTCCTTGCTGTGGGCGGAGAGGCAGACAGTTATGTGGGCTGTCCGGTGTAGTCGTGAGCACACAGATACTGGAATGAAATAAGCACCTTAGGGGAAAGGGGGCTGTGATGGCAAGAGACGATTAGTGACCCTGAAGGCACCTGAGTCATTTGGAGTGTTCACACCTAGGCACAGAGAAGTGACTGCATAGCAAGAGTAAAATTAGAAGGCATTGTCCAGAGAGCTATGGCCCACCAAGGCTGCCTCATGACAGATACGGAGGCCAAAGTGTCTGAAATAAAAGGGCTACAGGTAAAAGGGGCAGGCTGCAAGTCTCCCCCATTCTCACCTCTGTCAGGAAAAATAATTTTACTCTTTTGTCTTAGGATCCGCAGCAGCTGCTGGCCTTGCACAGAAGTAGCCTCTTCGGCCAGCCCTCGCTCACTCTTTGGAGATGGCGGGTGACATCACAGAGACCGGGGAGCTCTATTCTCCTTATGTGAGTTTTTCTCTGTCTATGCATTCTTCGCCCCGTCATGCTCCTGGTTTCTAGGTAGACCCTGGTGACAACGAGACTGAAACTCCACGCAGCTGCCGTCAGGGTCCAGCTGTCATGGCTCGCACTATAAATATCAGGCTCGTTCCCCTTTTGTCTGTGTAATGTTTTTTTAAAGCTTTATTTTTAATTATGTGTGTGTGTGTGTGTGTGTGTGTGTGCGCGTGTGCGCGTGTGCGCGTGTGTGTGCGCGCGCGTGCGCCTGCATGCCTGCCGGATCCAGGAGAGGGCACCAGATGCTATCCTTACGCTGTAGGTGCAGTGTGGGTGCTGGGACTTGAACTGAGATCCTCTGTTGCGGCAGCAGCAGGTGCTCTTAACTGCTGAGCTGTCTCTGCAGCTCCGGTTCTCCTTTGGATGCCTATCAGAGTGCCAAGCCAAACAGCTAACTTGTGAGTCTTCCCCAGTCTGTCTCAGGGCCCCTGCAGATTGCACACGACCCCGCCAGTCAGGTGGGCAGTCCCTGACAGCTGTTGCCTTAGCGATTAGTTCATCTCAGCAGCCTGCACCGCCTTTCGTCTTCAGCTGAATTTTAAATTGCACAACTTTTATGGTTTGGTATGTTGAAAGAGGCGGCGAACAGCAGAGGCTTCCAATTGCAGTTTGGTCGACTCGGCAATTATGACAATTAGAGCGATTGATTTCTCTCTGTCTTGACTCTGGGGCTCCCTCACTCTCCCACACACTCAGTTTATCTTCTCTTGTGTAGTATCCAGTTGGTTGTGGTTATTGCGTCACAGGGCCTTAACTGGATACGTAGCTGGAGGTGTGTGAACAAGCAGGACTGACTCACTCCACTGCCAGCTACCACCACACACAGCAGCTCTCCTCCACAGAGCCTTCTTTCTAGACTTTCCCTGGGTTCAGCAGCAGCCCTGCTGTTCACAAGCAGCTACAAAGGCCCCCTTTCACCTCTGCAGCTTGCCAGGGAAAGTCCCTCTCAAATGCTGGAATGGAATGGACAGTCACCCTCTGTGTGAGGTCATGTGATGGTTCCTTGTCCTCTGTCAGCAGTAAGATGTCGGCACTGTCCCTACAAGTTGCCACAATTCTGCCTCTTTCTTACAATAACTACAAACTTAGAGGAAATGAGTCATCGCTGAGACTGAGTTTTAGAAGGAAAGCAGCTTATGTCCCCATTTCTTATGCCCCCACCTGTTCAGGCAGTTATTCATTCACTCTTGCTACCAAGCGTCCACAGAGGCCTGGACAGTTAGGCCTGCATGCCTCTGGAGCTCCCCCACCCCTTTTTTTCCCCCTTTTATTTTTTTTGAAAATAATTTATTTTTATTTCATGTGCATTGATGTTTTGCATGCATGTCTGTGTGAGGGTGTTGGGTCCTCTGGAACTGGAGTTACAGACAGTTGTCAGCTGCCATATGGGTTGCTGGGAATTGAGCCTGGGTCCTCAGGGAGAGCAGCCAATGCTCTTAGCCACTGAGCCATCTCCCCAGCCCCTCCTCTTCCATTTTGTATGTGTTTTATTTTACTCAGGGTCTTTGCAGTTGCCATAAATAAAGTGCTGTGTTTCTTTAACTTAATAGTAAAGAGAGATATGTGGGGAAAAGATGGGTGCTCGTGGTGATAGGGTAGCATTAACCAGGAGATGATGGTCAGAGTTATGAGGAAAGCAGGTACCTTTTTCCTGTGCATATTTGTTTCATTTTTTTGTGTGTATGAACACTTGGAACATATATATATATTTATTCACACACACACACACACATATATATATATATGTCACATATATATGATATAGACAGGTAGGTAGGTAGGTAGATAGATAGATAGATAGATAGATAGATAGATAGATAGATAGATAGGGCCAGGCATGTTGACACACACCTTTAATCCCAGCAGAGGCAGGCAGCTCTCTGTGAGTTCGAGGCCAGCCTGGTCTACAAAGTGAGTCCAGGACAGCCAAGCCTACCCAGAGAAACCCTGTCTGGAAAAAACAAAACAAAAAAAGGTATAGATCACATGCATGCGGTGCCTATGGAGGCAAGAAGGAGGCGTCAGATCCCCTAGAACTGAAGCTGGCGCTGGTTTTAAGCCATCATGTGGGTGCTGTGAGCTGAACTGGGGTCCTGTTCAAGAGCAACAGGTGATCTTTATCACTGAGCCATCTCTCCAGATCCTAAGGTTGTTTTTTTTTAATTAGTTTTTTGAGAATTTTGTGCAATGTGTTTTGAACATACTGACCTCCTCCTCCAGTTCCTCCCAGATCCACCCCACTTCCCTGCCCATTCAACTTTGTGTCCTTTTAGACAAAACTAAAAAAATAAAAAGCCATTAAGTTCAGTTTGTGCTGCCAGTATATTCTGGGACCTGTGGCATCTTACTGGAGCATGGTTCACTTACCAATGGCTACTGATTTTTCCTGTCTCAACAGCTTTCCATTGCCGATAGTCACTTGACCTCACACCTTCCTTCCCCCTCCATGCTGGGACTTGGTCTGGTGTGGCTTGAGCTTGTACAGGTCTTGTGCACACTGTCATGACCACTGTGTGTGTGTGTGTGTCCGGGTGTGTCCGGGTGTGTCCGGAAGACACTGTTTCCTTGTCATACAGCCTCTGGCCCTTAAACTCCTTTCCCCTTCCGCCACCTTTTCTGAATTACCTTAGGGTCTCTTAATCCATCATCCTAGAAAATAAATCTGGTGTGTGTGTATGTGCGTATTGGTTGGTTATTGTTTTTAAATTTTATGTGTATGGGTATTTTGCTTGCATGTATATGTGGTATATGCGAGAGTGTATCTGATACGCCCTTCTGGTATTTTGTACCATGTGCCTGGTGCCCAGAAAGGCCAGAAGAGGATATCGGGTTCCCTAGAACTAGAGTTACAGATGGTTATTAGCTGCCATGTGGGAACTAGGAATTGAACCCCCGTCCTCAGAAAGAGCAGCCAGTGGTCTTAACTGCTGAGACATCTCTCCAGCCCTGTTTTTGTTTTTTGAAACAGAATCTAGCTATGTAGTCCAGGCTGTCCTCGAACTTATGATCTTTGCTTCAGCCTCTTGAATGCTGGAGTCACCACGTTAAGCTAAAAATTACTGTCTTTTAAAGATTTATTTATTTATTTTGTGCATATTAGTGTTCTGCTTACATAAATGTTTGTGCGTGTGTACCTCTAGTGCCTGTAATGATAACAAGACGCAGGATGCCCCAACTGGAGCTACAGGTAGTTGTGAACGTCGTGTGGTTGCTGGGAACTGAACCCAGGTCCTCTTCAAGACCAGCAAGTGCTCTTAACCACTGAGCCATCTCTCTGGTGGCACACCTCCCCATTCACTCCCTCCCTTCCTCTTCCCCTCTCCTTTCTCCCTTCTTCCCTTTCTCTTTAGATTTATTCTTAGTATTTAAAGCTAGTGTGTGTGTGTGTGAGTGTGTGTGTGTGTGTGTGTGTGTGTATGTGCACAGATGTCCATATAGGCAAGAGGAAGGCATTAGGTCCCCTGCAGTGAATTATAGATGCTTGTGAGCTGCCTGACATGGGTGCTGGGATCCAAACTCTAGTCCTCTGCAAGAGCAGTAAGTCCTCTTAACCTGTAGCTTGCCAGTCCAGTGAGGCCAGCTAGACACGGAGATCCAAGGGTCCTCCTGGGTCCTCCTCCCTAGTATTAGGACGACAAGTGCATGCTCCCCCCACCCCCCGGGCTTGTTTGAGTGTTTGTTATTTTGAGACAGAGTCTTACTATGTAGTGGCTAGCCTGGAACTCACTGTGTAGACTAGGCTGCCCTCGAACTCACAGAGATTCGCCTACCTCTGCCTCCTGAGTGCTAGGATTAAAGGAATGAACCACCATGCCCAGCTGAACTCAGGTTTTTATGTGGGTGCTCACGAGTAAGCTCAAGTCCTCATGTGTGCATGGCAAGCACGTTATTGACTGAGCCATCTTCCCAGCCCTACAGTCTTAAATCCTGGTCAGGGCTCAGACACCATTGCTGCCTGGTGACTCCTTTGAATATCATCAGGGGGTTCGCTCCTGAGATGATGCTTGGGTGTCCTGGGTGTCTTGTGGGTGAAAGCAAGGCAGGCAGCTAGCACACCGCACAAGCCCTCTTGGGCAGGGAGCTGCTAGCTCAGCACAGAGGAGTCCGGTGAGCCTGCATGTGTGGGTTTATCTACATGGAATACAGCAGGGTCTTAACTCTTCCACTTTCTGCCACCCTTTCAAGGAGGTTGCCCTCTTCCCCACTGTCATGTGACCTCTTTTTCCCTTTCCACAGCTCCTCTTTACCTGGCCTGTGACTGAGTTGAAAGTGGCTTCCTTTTGGCTGCTCCTCATGACCAGTGCTCACTGAGTGCCTTTCCCAGAAGTAAAGAGGATTTAATATGCACCCAGACTGTTGAGGCCCACAGATGGCACAGAAATCCTGCCTCACACAGCAGGGCTCGCTGAGCTCCCAGTGGACGCAGTGTTTACTCTGGACCTAAAAATAGGAACAAAGCAGGACAAACGACTTCCGTCTGTTTCCTAGTTTACTTTTTTTTAAATTAAAATTTTACATGTTTCCCCTGAATGTATATATGTGAATATGATTGTAGTTCCTACAGAAGCCAGAAAGGGTGTCAGATCCCCTGGAACTGAATTTATAGATGTCTGTGAGCCATCACGTGGAACAGAACCCGGGTTCTGTAAAAGAACAGCCAGTGCTCTTAACCATTGAGCCATCTCTCCAGCCTTGTTTGTTTGTTTGTTTTCAGAAAAAGGTTTCTCTGTGTTTCTTGGCTGTCCTGGAACATGCTGTATAGACCAGGCTGGCCTCGGATTCAGAGATCCGCCTGCCTCTGCCTCCCTAGTGCTAGGATTAAAGGCCTGCCACCATGCCTAGCTTCTACAAATGTTTTCTTTTCTTAATGCTTTATTTATTTTTATGTTTATTGGTGTTTTCCTGCATGTATCTCCATATGAGAATGTCAGATCCCCTGGAACTGGAGTTACAGACAGTTGTGAGCTATATGTGGGTGCAGGGAATTGAACCAGGGTCTTCTAGAAGAGCTGCCAGTGTTCTTAACAGCCGAGCAATTTCTCCAGCCCTTACAAATGCTTTGTATACTCCTTATTCTCCCATAAAGTTTTTGCCTAGTGTCACTTTCTTAAAGCTCTTTGCCTTTTTCTTACTTCCATTATGAGAAGCCTCACCTAGACTGTTTTCATAAAGTAAAATTCTTAGCCCTGCTTAGTGTATGTTTTAAAGGTGCCATGAGCAAAGCTTCTGGGCATCCAGAAGATGTCTGGAGTCAGCTGGAGTCTGTTAGTGCACATGGGGAGCTCACCAGAGGTGACCACTTAGATACAGTGTATAGCCAGCTCTAAGTCCTTATTGTAGCTGGCTGGGACCATACCCAGGTGTTGGAGTGGGTGACATGACAGGTGACAGGGACCTAGGTGTGGCCTGGGTCTCCAGAACATGGGATTTTGAAGGGCAGAGACCTGGTCCAGACATCTTGCTCATCAGCTGGGGGTAGGGAGATTGGGTGGGGAGTTATCTTTGAAGAGTAAGCAGTCTGAAGCAACCAGTTTTAACAGATACTAAGAGGCAAAGATAAGAGGCTATCTGGAGGAGGTTCCACACAAACAGGCAGTTTTAACACCAGCTGAGATAAGTTGTTTAGGACATCTTGACCTTTAGTTCCTAGAATAGAGTTGCATAGTTTCCATGGAATTTTCCATCAAGGAGATTCTAGTTAAACCTGGAAATGGCTTCAGCAACAATACAAGATGGAGGATTCTTGGCCTGTCACTCCTGCTTAAAACCCTCCAAACCATGGCACTTCCATCACTTTCCACAAGGGCCTGTGTCTTGCATGGCTTGGTTCATTGACCACAGCCACTATGTGGCTGCCAGAAAACCCTACAAACACCTGTAAGAATGCGACGTTAGATTCCAGCTGTTGCTCAGACCACAGTTCCTGCAGTATCCTAAAACAGATCTGGACATTGTGAATCCCTAGCTAACAGACTTCTAGGTGCTAGGGTCTCTCACCTGAGGACAGGAGGGTGGCCACGCATTCCCCATCCTCCCTGCAGCATGGCAGTCAGAGAGCCTGGCTGCAGGCTACATTGTGAAACCATCTCCATTCTAAAAACTATAAGATGCCTCCCACTCATGCCAAGGGGGAGATTCCTTCAGAGCCTTCACCATGCTGTTTTCTGTCTGTCTGCCCATGGCATTAATAACTCTTAATAAAGTCCTTACCCCCAACCACATGTCTCAGTGTTCCCCTGAACCCCATATTTGAGGCCCTTCAACACCCCTACCTTTGTACCTGGAAGTCCCTTTCCTTGAACCTTATTTCCTTGTGAAGGGGGAAGGCGCACAGAGCAGGGAATGTGCACATGATACAGCCCAAGTGTGAATGTCAGAAGACAACTTTGGGGAGTTGGTTCTCCCCACCTTTACACAGATTCAGGGGATCAAACTGTGGGTCCGGCTTTTCCATAAGCACTTTTACCTGCTGGGCTGTCCAGTTCATGATTTTCTTTTTTTCTTGTCTTGTCTTGTCTTGTCTTGTCTTGTCTTGTCTTGTCTTGTCTTGTCTTGTCTTGTCTTGTCTCTTCTTCTTCTTCTTCTTCTTCTTCTTCCTCCTCCTCCTCCTCCTCCTCCTCCTCCTCCTCCTCCTCTTCTTCTTCTTCTTCTTCTTCTTCTTCTTCTCTCTCTCTCTCTCTTTCTAGTATTTTATTGTGAAACCTAGGTTGGCCAGACCTGTATTCCTCTTCCCTTAAACAACTGCATTCCAAGATTACAATAGTGGGCCGCCAGAACTAGCTGAGTACTATTTGTTTAAAGTACTTTACATTATCTCTTGCAACAAAGCCACAGTTCTTCTCTTCATTTCATTTATCTCACACTGTAATCGCTGTCTCTGTCCTTATTGTCTCTTCCCTCTTTACTCTGTAGCCACAGTCACTTGTAGAAAGTCTGATTACAATTCAGAAGACCAGAGGTGTGCTGTCATGCCCAAGATAATCTGAACAGGGTCTGGTGGTGCCCTTTGCATTTAATTTTATGTCAAGCAAATTATAAGTCAGGTTTTATATTTTTATTTACTTATATAGTATGTGTATGTGTGTGCACGTTCATGCAGGTAGAGGACAACTTGTCAGAGTCAGTGGGTCCTAGGGCTTGAACTTGGGTTGTCAGGCTTGGCAGCAAGCACCTTTACCCGCTGAGCCATCTCTCTAGCTGTATGCCAAGTTTTGCTGTTGTTTTTAAATCCTGAACTTGGTAGTCAGCAGTGGTGATGCATGTCTGTAATCCTGAGACCTGGGAGGCTGAGACAGAAAGATTGCCAGCCTGGGCTACATAGTACTAGCCCAAACAGTACTGCATAACAAAGCTTTGTCTCAAACAAAAGAAAACAAAAAGCCATAATCCCGAAGTTGGTATAGGGAAAAGGGTGTAGTCGAGTAAGTGGATGTCACTGCCCAGCGTTGTGCCAGTGTCCTACCTGTGGCACTCTGCCTTCAGGAAGCCCCTGCCAGGTTGAGGAGAGCTGGTTATTACATGGCTTTGGATAGTCAAAAACAGACTGAGATTGACAAGGATGGAGATGGCGGGGCTGTCTTCCTCTGGGTGACCATGCAAATGGTTGGCCTCCCAATGCTTGGCTCCTTAGGATTCAGGTGCTGTCCCTCCCCAGTCTCCCTGGTGAAGACCTAGGAAGGCCTCCACAGTTGTGACGTCACCCAGAGCTGTCCTCAGGTTAATTAATCCCCTGGCTGAATGTTGTTCCTGTTGTTTTCAGGTCGGGCTGGTGTACATGTTTAACCTCATCGTGGGCACAGGTGCGCTCACCATGCCCAAGGCCTTTGCCACTGCCGGGTGGCTCGTCAGCCTCATCCTCCTGGTATTTGTGGGTTTCATGAGGTAAGAGCTGAGAGGGGTGGAGGGTGGGTTGCCACTCCTGGGCTGGTGACAGACTGGAGGAAGTCTACCAGGGAGCCTGAATGGTCTCTTAATTACCAGGAAAGCTCTTGAGGTGTAGGAAGATTGCTGTTTGCATATATGTAGGTAAGTGGGTCTTAAGTTAGATCGCCCAGGGCAGAGCAAATACATCCAAAGGTCAAAGGGCCTTTTGCTAACAGAACAGTTTCGCAGCCCTGAGCAGTTAGGCCAGGGTACCAGACAAGGCCCTGGAGTGTCTCATCAGATGATGGCCAGCTAGTCCTGGCAAACTCAGCTTCCCTGCTCTGACTTTTATCTCTAACCATCCATCCTTGCTCTCTGAGAAGACAGCACCTAACCACTGAAGAGGACTCTAGCAGACATGAAGGCAGGCTAGGAACTCAGTTTACAATTTAGGATTTGCTTTAAAAAAATTCACCACAGGCACTCTCATATACACGCACACACACATTTCTATACACACGTATGTGTACATGTACACACACACATATACAAACATACGGGGCAGTCAGTTTTTTTAAGGGCCTGCCTTCTGTCTGCCCCACTCACCCAGGCCTTCAGGAACACTTGCTTTGTTGACCAGTTGTTGGAGGGGTCGGCAGCTGGTACTTCAGAGCAGAGAGCGCCTCCTCTTGGCGATTCCTGTGTCACTCTGAAGTCCCATCACAGTGGCCCAAGCTGTGAAAGTATATAAAGCAAGGCAAATCCAGGCCCCTCCATCAGGTAGGAACCCATCTGTATTGAAGTGTTAAAGAAGTGGGAATTCAGAGCTGGAGAGCTGGCTCAGCAGTTTGGAGCACTTGTTGCTCTTGCTGAGGGCCTGGGTTTACCCAACCCCAACATGGTAGCTAACAACCATCTGTATCTCCAGTTCAGGGGATCTGATGTGCTCACCTCTATGGAAAATGCACAGTTTTGCTGTTGTTTGGTTTGGTTTGGTTTTTGGTGCACATACACACATATAGGCATATATATATATATATATATATATATATATATATATATATATATATATATATATTAAATTTAAAAACAGAAGGAAGCCAGGCGGGGTGGTACACAGCCTGTAACTCCAGTGCTCGGGCAGCTGTGGCACCAACAGGAGTGGAAGGTCACCTTTAGATGCATAGTAGATAGCTACAAAGAATGAAACAAAGATAAAAGCTGAAGGAAACAGACCCAGAAGAGGCTCATGGGAGGGGCTCACACCCAAAGGTTGGGGTTTTTTCATGCACTTTATTTTGGAGAACTTTGGGGGTAAACCTCAGAGTACTGTTGCCTCATTACATACCCCGTGCTCTGGCGACCAAGAGCTCTCAGGGTCCTTGTCCTTATGTCACTGTGTCCCCTTTAAGGGCTCCTCAGCAAGGCAGCCATCTGAATGGGGAGTGATTATCAGAGGCCCTCCAGTAGGGGATGCCATGCCTCTCTCTGCTAAGCCCCTTTATGTTTGAATCTGATCAGTGAATTGGCTTTGTGAAACTGTAAGGCGCGTTCTTATGCCTTAATTAAGATTGATTTCAGCTTTGCTTCCAATAAGACGTGGAAAAGCAGAGTCCTTAGAAGAGCCAATTAGGGAAGATAATGAGAAACCTGGGCTTCTTCAGGCTCAGAGATCCACCACCCATTCCTTACCCTCTGGTGGAGAGATGTGGGTTTAACTGTGGGCAGCCCAGAAGGTCCTTTTCCCACCTGATTGTAGGGCTGAGCATTTACTGCTGCTACTGTCAGTACAGAGGGTGTGGGGACAGAGCTGTGTTGGCTTCAAAAACCAGGGAGACAAATGCTGGCCCAGGTAGGTTCACAGCCAGGGTTGCAGCAGCCAAAGGCAGCGCCCTGTCCTTCTGTGAACGGGCACATAGTGCAGTCCAGCTGCTCTATGGGCTGCGGGCAAGTGTCTTGTATCATTTCCCAGTGTCCCTTTAGAGAAACAGGCGTACAAGCCTATTTTAAAATGAGCCAAGTTACTTAGGAAATGAAAGTGCTGCCAAAGGAAAAGGGTTTGGATTCCAGAGTGGAGCTGCATCTTCAGTCACCCATCCCATGGCCCTCACTCTAATGTGGAATTGAAAGTCGGCCACTGGTCTGTGTTCTGGCAAGAGGTGAAAGTCGCCTGCTGTCCTTCCAGAAGCTCGAACAAGGCCCCTTTCTGAATCAGCATGCCACCTCAGAGCACCATTTACTGTCTGTCCCAGCAGGCCTTTCTGGGTACCAGGGCTGCATTACCTGCTTGCAGGTCATCTCCACCCCAGCTTGAGCAGTCACCCTGTCTTAGGTTACTACTGCTGGGATGAAACATCACGATCAAAGCAACCTGGGGAGGAGACGTTTGTTTGGCTTACTCTTCTCATTGCTGTTCATTGTTGAAGGAAATCTGGATGGGAACTCAAACAGCAGGAACCCGGAGGCAGGAGCTGATGCAGAGGCATCTTCTTGCAGGCCTGCTGCTTACTGGCTTGCTCCCCCCGACCTGCTCAGCATCTTCCTTATAGAGCCCAAGACCACCAGCCCAGGGATGGTCTTCGTGGGCTGGGTCAATCACTAATTAAGAAAATACCCTACAGCTGTATCTCATGAAGGGCTTTTTCTCAATTGAGGTTCACTCCTGTCACTCTAACTTGTGTCAAGTTGACATAAAACTAGCCAGCACGCCCTCCCATCAGCCTGTTTCATACCCTTTCTCCTGTATATTGGAGAGAGTCTCTGAGGTTGGTAGTGAGAATCATTTGGGGTGCACAGTGACACTTTAATTTCTTTTTTACATTTATTTATTTAGTGCGTGTGCACACATGTTCCTGTATGAATAGGTTCTCTTCTTCTGTCATGTGGGTCCCTGTGATCGACTCAGATCATCAGGCTTGGCAGCAAACACCTTTGCCCACTGAACCATCTTGCTGGCCCCAAATCATGGATTTTAGCCAGGGATCACCATCTCTGAATTTCTGTAGGGAACAGCTCTCAGGAGAGAATGCTGTGAGTTTGTTAGTTGGTTAGACTGTACTTCCTGCAACCTTCTCCGTGCCATTAACATGTGGCTTTCCCCCTCAGCTTTGTGACAACCACCTTTGTGATGGAGGCCATGGCTGCAGCCAACGCCCAACTCCGCTGGAAGAGGATAGAGACCCACAAGGTGTGTGCATGGCCTCGTCCTCAGGTGGTACGTGTGTTCAGTCGCGTACCAGTGTAGTATCGCAGGCCTCTCTCCAACAGCCCTGGCCCAAGTTCCAGGGATGCAGCTAAGAAGCCACATAAAGCCCAGGGGCCACACACAGTGGCTGCTGTCTTAGCATTGCGACCTCAGTCCCTGACATAGCCACCTGGTGTCCACTCAGTCCTTCTGAACCTTTATGCCAGGAACCCTGCCATCTCCACCTTCTGACGTTACAGGACACACATAGTCTCCAAGGGACACCTTCTGGAGAACATGAGCAAGGAAGGGCCACTGTTAACTGGGGTTTAACACTGTACCCTCAGCTTGCCCTGACTTTTCCTCCTCTTCCTCTCCTTGTCCATCCTACTATCTCCCAGGAAGAGGACGATGAAGACTCTTCTATAGCCTCAGACAGTGACATCCTCACCCAAGACAACTATGAGCGGGCAGAGAAACGGCCCATCCTGTCTGTGCGTAAGTCTTGGGCTACTGGGCAGGCTCCACACTCCCCCTGGTCAGCAGCCCCCCCCCCCCCATCTTTGTAGGGAGCTTCCTAGGGAGTTGCCCTGCAGACATCTCCTAAAGTATCAGTTTAGAAGGTCAGTGAAGTAGAGTACACAGAAGAGCACAGGACTCAGGATCTGAGCGCAGGCCTGGCCTCTGCTGGATCTGCCTCCTGTGTGTAGCGCTGTGCCTCAGTTTCCCCCCCTTCTGTCATTACTGAAATAATTAGGGTCTGCCTGCATCCATGAGCTTCTCTGGCTTCATCCTCTCACACACCCCCTCCCTCACCCAAAATACATACACTCTCATCTCGGTGCTGACCGGAGTTAGGGGCACCTGCTGTCCCCATAAGGAGCTACTCAAATTCTCCTTAGACCTGGGGCTGGGGGTGCAGCTTCCTGGTAATACACCTCCCTAGTGTGCCCTGAGCTCTGGGCTTCATCCCCAACACCATATACACAGACAGACAGACAGAAGAAAGTGCTGGGGAAATGTATCTCAGTGGAAGAGTGCCCACCTGGCATGCATGAGGAGCCCATGGTGAGGGGAGAAAATGTTTCAAGGGTTGGTTTCCAGAGCTCAAGCAGCCCCCCTTCGGGCCCTTCAGGTGAACAACCACTACCCTCTCTATTCCGGCCCCACAGAGAGACGCTCCTCAGCCAACCTCTTTGAAATCACAGACCGGGTGGAAATGGGACAGATGGCATCCATGTTCTTCAATAAAGGTAACAGTCATCCCAGGATGGTGTGGGGCACTGGAGCACATTTGACCTATGCTCAAGTCCTGCCCCTTATAATGGGGTTCCATGGTAAAGGATAGAGCAGATGCGTAGGAACAGAGCACCAGAGGAGCAGGCTTGCTGTGAGGCCTGACCTGCTCTCCATTCTTTTCCTGGGGTTCCTTGCTGTGCACTAGCCTGAAGGTTTAGCCATCCTACCAGTTGCTTTCCAGCGGAAGAAGCCAATGCCACACAGTAATAGAATCGGCCTCACACACCTGGTCCCCTGTCAGCCAGCAGAGGGCGCTAGGAGCCCACAGCGGTGTTGCCCGGTGACAGCCCAGTGTTGGAGAGCTGAGGCAACATGCGCCTTCTGGGCTCTGCTTGTTCCTGGCTGGCATTTGCTACAAACTGCAGGTGTCCACCTGACTCTGGTATCTGCCAGTGATAACCTTTGCTGCCTCTGGGTAAATCTTATTTAAAAAAAAAAAAATGAGGTGTTTTAAGACTTTAATATTTAGTACTCAAACCTCTCCTGTCCCTACTTCTTCAGGTGTGGAGCACAGCCTCCGTAAGTCCTCTCTAAGCTGTCTTAGAAGATTTTATGCCCCTTTGTCAAAGCCTCCCCAGTTTGCCAAGTGGGCATCTCTGCCAGTTTTTTTTCTGGTCTTGAGTGGGGCTATGGAGAGAGGGGAGTGTTGCAGAAATGGGAACCTTCTTGACTTGGGACTAACACCAAGCACTCAGTTTGTCATTAAAGGTGGAGACTGGCGATTGGTCCAGGAAGGGTGATTATGGGCACAGGCTAGAAGCGACTGGCTCCATTCGCCTTTTTGGGCCAGTTTAGAAGGGGATTTCAACATTTCCTCAAAGCCAGCTCTGCTGTATTCGGGCCCACTTTTGCCCTTCCCTGTGTTCCATTTCTGTCACTCACCAGCCACTGAGGGAGAACACCTGGATGTCCCCTCCCGGCAGCCACTCAGAGGCCTCCACATTCAAGGCTGAAAAGCAAGTACACTTCAGCGGGAGAGCACACACGTTCTAAACCATATGCTAATCCTTGTGCTCTGCAGCCCGTCCTGATAGCCCTAGTTATTTGTGTGTGTGTATGTGTATCTAAGTGTGTGTGTGCACATACGCACGCGTGTAGAGGCCAGAGGCTGACATCTGGTGTCTTCCTCCCTTGCCTTCCCCTTATATTTTGAGACACGTCTCTCACTGAACCTGGAGCAGAGCCATTGAGCTAGGCTGACTGGCCGGCAGGCTTAGCACCCCTCTTGCCTCCTGTTCCCAGTGTCCCCAGTGTGAGGACTGCAGGAGCACGTCTGGCCTTTTTATGGGGCGCTAGAGATCCAAACTCAGGTCCCCGTGCTCCTGCCTGATTTCTTTCAGGTGTCTGTGTACTAGTGGGTTGTTTTGTCTCATTTGCCCACATCTCACATAGACAAGCACAGTGGCTGGGGAGCATCCCCAGCTACTGAAGAGCTTTACCAATACCTGCTGCGGTCACAAGCTTGGCACTGGTGACGTTGGGCTGCTAACCTTTTGTCATGGCCGCCTGTCCTGAGCGCTGTAGGACTGTGAGGCAGCATTTCTCTGGCCTCTAGATCAGAATTGCCTCTTGGCTGGGACTGTCAACCCCCCTCAGACATTGACACATGTCCTCTGTGAGAGCTGGGCTGTCAGCTCACCCCTGCTCTGCTCTGTTCAATAACTTAGACTGCCACATTGTTCCTGTCACCTTCACTGGAGCTGCACCCTCCACAGAAGGCTCCCCAGGGTTCCACACTCATCTCTTGTAGTTAGAAATGCCAGGCCCAGACATTAACGTCCTCTCAGGAAGTTCATTGATTCTCCCACTTTGTGTCTAGTAATGAAATTTTATTGATCAAGAGGGGCTGATGGCAGTTCATAACAGCCAACACGGGCACTGTTGGCAGGTTGCAGAAAGGGGCTGAGGAGGTGGTAGAGCCTTCTCACTGAGAACATGGGTATCCCAGAGGGAAGGGAGGCTGGAGTGGGCCTTACCTAGAGCCCGGGTCATGAATGACAGACAGCCCCAAGAGCTTCAAGCCACATCAAGGTCAATTCTGACACGTCAGGGAAGGGTATGACGCCTATCATGTTTAAAAAGCATGTTGCTGTGCCCTCATGGGTTCTAAAAAAGAAATTGTGTTTTCCTGGCCATTTTTCTCAGGACTCTGGAGAGCAGAGCTGACCTCAGATAGCCCGGGACTAACGTGCCCCAGGCTGTCCCCTGGGGACCTCTAGGCTGTTCTGAGCCACCAGGATTAGAAGGGAACTGTCACTTCATTTTTCTTCCTGTTCTTAGAGAAGCCAGCAGCTTAAGACTGGTGACATCAGGAACTTGAGCATCTCCTCTAAATGCGAGTTTGGAACTGGTTCTCTGGGACCATGACCCTCAGGTGTCAGCCCCAGCTACCAGTGCCTAAGCTTCTCTGGGCCTGGATCTTTGTACCCAAATCCATTTATTTATTATTATTTTATATTGATTTGCTTATTTTGTTTGTTTGTTGTGGAGAGGCATGTGTGTGCCAAGGCCGGGGGTAGGGCACAGGACAACCTCCTAAGATTGGTTCTCTCCTTCTACTGTGAGGACTTCAGGAAGCAAACTCAGATCATCAGGCACAGCGGTCTCTGGGCCATCTCTCGGGCCCTACCAGCGTAGATTCCTCTCTCTGATCTCCAGGCCTCTCCGAGTCTCTCAGGCCCCAATCCCCAGCTGAGGCATCTCCTGCCAGCCTCACAGTTTAGCCAGCCATGATAAGAAACGGGAATTTGGGGTCATTTTTTTTCTCCTACTTTTTGTAGAAGGCAAATGGCCTGAAGAACTGAGAGCATCAGAAGCAGTAAAGAAAAAAAAACGCATATGTGTCTCTCTCCAGCTCCCTGACGTGTGGCTTTGTTGCTTTCAGTGGGAGTCAACCTGTTCTATTTCTGCATCATTATTTACCTGTATGGAGACCTTGCCATCTATGCCGCCGCCGTGCCCTTCTCCCTCATGCAGGTGACCTGGTGCGTAGCCCCCTCATCTCCTGTCCCCACACGGGTTGCAGACCCTCAGGCCTGCCCCACCAGCTGGGCAAGGACTTTCCCTAGAGGTACCGCCCTCAACGAACCCACAGCCTAGGGAACATCACTCCTGAGGCCCTTCTCCACCACAGGCCCAGCCATGCCCTCGGTCCTCACAAGGCACGTTCTATACTGTGCTATCCCTTTTCCTGTTCCGGGGAGAAGGCAGCTTGGATTCCCACACCTCTGAGACCTTGTGCTGCCTGACCAAGGGGACTTGTCCTAAGAGACAGTTTATGAAAAGCGGGAGCGGCAGCCCCATGGTCTCTTCCTGGCCAAGCAGGGCCCCATGCTGAGCCCAAGTTTGCCATCACTCTCTTCAGCAGTGTCTCTGGCAATGACTCCTGCGGCGTGGACACAGATGCCAAATACAATGACACTGATCTGTGCTGGGGCCCCCTGCGCCGGGTGGATGCCTACCGGATCTACCTGGTGAGTATCCTCTCCCTGCCTGGGCCACACCAGGGCAGTGTGAGTGGTGGGAAGTGTTCTGTCTCAGCCCTTTCTCCAGAGAGGAGTCCTGCACACTGCCACACCTTGGCTCAGGAGTGAGGTCTGAGCCTCAGAGTTAAGTGTGACTTGGAATGGTTGGGCTCCAGACTTGGGCCAGCAGGTTGCTGGGAGCTTGCATGGTTTGACGAGCATCGCGGTTTGAGGGGCACTCTGCAAAGGTCTTGCGTTCCGAGACTTTCCGTACCTTAACTCCAGGCCAGCAAGGTGCACATAAGTGGTGCCAGGTCTCATAACAGGGTAGACAAGACTGGTCCATCTTACAGTTGACCCTGACCACAGATAGCCTCTATAGGCAGGTTGGGCTCAGCCCAGCTCTCTTCCTGTCTTCCCATGGACGAGGGAAGAAGATGAATCGCCTGCCTCCCTCTTGATTGCTTCGTGCTGTGGTTTGGTGGGGGTGGAGCTGGCTAACACGCTAGACAGGACTCAGATAATAGGACGGCACAGCACCAGAGGCCATTTGTCTCTGCCTACTTCAGGCGGCTCAGAAACGCTTCCTCCAGCTTCTGCAGCATCTTTTAGGACTCTCTGCCCCCGCCCAGTTCTTCTCAGTCCTGGCACAGCATCAGGTGTGCTGGGTGCCACTTAGCCCTGGCTGTGGCTGCTTTGCTGGTGTGAAGGGGCGAGGGGAGAGCAGGTCTTCCTGCCAGTAGCCTCTTGACTTGGGTCATCCCATCCTGGCTTAGGGCTCCATGGATCCTGTCAGCAAAGGTCTAGATTTATTAATCCCAAGGACTACTGAATAGGTTTTATCTCTCTGGCAGGCTCCTGAAGGACCTGCAGGCTAGGGGTCAGGAAGTCTTGCCTGTATTTCTGTAGCTGTCATAAACTCATGGTTTATTTCCTCTCTGGGGCACACAGCCCTGGCTAGGACTTTGTGTGTTCATATAAGTTCACCCCTGACCCTCCCATGGAAAGTCCGGCAGGTTTATGGTAGCAAGTTAAATTGTCTGGTGCCAGGTCCACCTGTACAGCTTTGGGAGTAGGCACAGGAGCTCACCAGGCAGCCGGGGGGTCAAGGCAGTAGAGGTCCAGCCAAGGCTTTGTTAGCCTCTTAGCATTTTATGATTAAGAAAATTAGCATAGCGGGGCATCGTGGTAACATGCCTGTAATCCCAGCACTCTGAGGCAGAGGCAGACAGATCTCTGCGAGTTCCAGGCCAGCCTGGTCTATAAATAGAGTCCAGGATAGCCAGGGCTACACAGAGAACCCTGTCTCAAAAAAAGAAAGACGGAAGGAAGGAAGGAAGGAGGGAGGGAGGGAGGGAGGGAGGGAAGAA